CTTTCCTTAATACATCTCCTACACTTGAAAGTACAAGATTGGCAAAGGAGGCAACATATTTTGACGGAGATCAAGGTTGACAAATAGTTAGAATACTTTTGGCCTAGCTAAGAAACAAGATTATCTAAGATTATGTACTTTTTACATACTAAAAATAGTTCATGTAAAAACACACACTTGCCTTAAAATGTGGGCGTATTTTGACAACAGGCTATTGATTTCCTTCCCCATGTCTGTTAATGCAAATATTTTATTAAAAAGTGTGAATCAATCTTATTCATTCCAACATGTAATTAATTAATAATTGTATTTCTGAAAGAAAAACCAGTAAATGTTTAGTACATCACCATTTAAAACCTTTTCCAGCACATCTGCATTGTAAAGTGAGTGTGAACTCTCAGAAAGAGCTGAGTCTGGTTTTTCAAGGCAGGATAACTGAGGACTTTCTGATGTTTCCTTCTAGAAATGGAACACATGAAAAAATATATGCCAATAAGTTCTTTGGGCTGAAAAACTTTGCATATATTTTTTTTACAAAGCTCTGCATAATCTGTGTATTTTATTGTAAATTAAGGTTGTGTAGTTGGGGTTTGTAACCACAAAAGTGCCTAAGTCCTCAGTGTAAAGAGGCCAAGTGAATGTTAAGTTCTAAAATAGTTTGAATGTACAGTATACACTATGTACACAAGACTTCATATTCCACCTAGCTGGCACTACCTCCCTGTTAGCAATGACGTTTTAAAGTCATCCTACCTTTTAGAGAGCTGGTTGGGTGGGTGGATTTGTGGGAATGCATGACATTTCTGGTCTCTTGGCAGTACTCACCCAAGACTTTTGACTGGATCGGTAAAAACGTGCGTTTCTCCCCTACACCAAACTAACCCTCTGTCAATTGGAGAAAGCCCACACAATATGAAACTCTCTCTGGTTCTATAAGTCTTCAAATCACGGGGAAAAATAATCACTGTAGTGGTAAGACATCACATTGATCTTCAGTAGCATACGTGAAGCGAAACCCTGTTCTTACCGGACAGCGATAGCACTGTATACCGCACTGTATGCTATTTTATACATGGTATAGGCACACTGCCCTTGAATGCAAACATGACAGGGGTCAGGTCAGGGTGCGGGGCGAGCGACATCACACACCAGACAAGGGGAAAGGGACGGTCCGGCCCACCTGTCACGGGTGCATGGCAGGGGTGAGCCCATGTACTACTAGGGTTCAGTAAAGAGCAAACACAAAACGGTAACCAAGCTCCCCTCGTCCGTCCAAACTCTCGCCCCAGCCATAACAAACCCGCTCACATCCATCTCCTTTCTGCGTTTACTGCTGCTCTCTTCAGACGTCCCTGAGGCGTTACTTGTCATTGTCCCCTGCTAAGAAACGGTGGATAAGTGAAACAAAACTCAGCATGTCACACCGGTGAGGGAGCTGTCTAATGTCGATATCCCTCCAGGGCCTCCCGCTGGCCTGAAACCAAAGCTGAAGCCCAAGTAAAAGTGTGGTGAGAGCAGCAAGAACTTAATGAAGTGGGAACCGAAGTGCCCCAGGCTGCCAGGCTCCGGAGTGGGTCCTACACCAGGGCATGACCACACGTGCGCTTTAATACGCATTAGCCTATTTTAACGTGCACTTTCACTAATGCACATTAAAATAGTCTAACGCACCTTTTTGTAGTTTCGTGAATGTGAGGGTCTGGAAGGGACCTTACGAGATCATTGGGGTACCGCCCCCCGCCCATGCGGGCAGGAAAGACCTCTTGTGAGGTACTAAAACGGAGGTAGGTATTCAATCTAATGCGCACTACTAAAAGTGCGTTCATGAAGGTGTAGACCACCCCGGGGGAGGCTGAGAACAGCGTCCCGCCCCGAGAGGCGTGCCGCCAGCGGCCAGCCATGACACCGAGGAGCTAATGGGCCCAGGGCGTCGCTCGCCGTCTCCCGGTGCATGTTTTTTTTTCTTCTTTTGAACTTTAATATTAGGATATATGCCCAATTCTTTAAATAATGTGATATCTATTTTAAATCATACGTAAGCATAGGCACAATCCTGGCTTTGCAACATCTGTTTCAGCTGAATGAGACCTGGCCTAAAAAATAAAAAAAGGTCAAAGATGTCAAATGCATGAATGCTGCAAAAACCCAACCCGGGGGCGCTTCCAACTCAGGCAAACGCCCGCGAGGGCGGCTCGCCACCCCTTCCTTCGCTTTCCACGCCGCACCCCCCTCCCGCCGGCGGGGACCGAACAGGGCGAGCACAGCGCGGGAGGCGAGGGTCGAGCTTTGTAAAATGTCGGTGGTCGCACAAGGGACGGGACAGGCGCCCTCGGCGCCGCGGCACAGCGCCCGCCCCGGAGACGCAGGGCGCGGGGCTTGCACAGCCCTGTTTTGCCCCCAAGCCCCCACTGCATGTTCGTGCTGGGGGACGAAGACAAACGGCTTGAAAGTACTTCGGGAAGGCGGCCTGAGGAGACGGAGGGCAGCGGGGAAAGGGCCGCCCGCTGCTTCCCGCTCCGAAGCGGCCG